GCTGTCCATGCTTTATGGGCCGATCATTGGCCTGTCGGCATTTGCCCGTTATGCCATATTACCGGTCCACCCCTCATCACCGTTGATGAACCACTCAAAGAATATTTGATCGTTTTTAAACAGCCAGCTACTTGAAATAGACCCGCGAGGAACCGCAACATGCATGCAGTTGTCGGCAGCAGTAATGCACATAAAACTCACAAGACCGGTGAATGACAGGTGAGAGAGAGAGAGATTTGATTTTTAACACCAACATTTATTTACTATATGCACTGTACAAAAAAACATACTATATTACATTACTAAATACCTTTACATTTATATGTGTAGCAACAATTTAGATCAGCACATCTCAAAACTTGACCCAGAGCGCCCCCCCACAACCCCAAACCACCTCAAATGTACCCAGGTCATGTGCAGCTCTGTAAAAACTGAAGTCTAACAGCAGTCTTGACTTAACCATTTTCTCAAAAACAAGAACCACATCAACACTTAACCCGTCATCAGATTCTCTTTCCAGTGTTTCAGTAGCCCAAATAGCTCCACCACCTTCCCCAGAGTAGAGACCCCTGCAGTGTGAAGACGTCTGGATAGTGTGGGTCCCCCACAGCTAGGACAATCCAACAGTCCTCCAAACAGCACAGGCTCTTGTAGGAGCCAGTACACACTGTCCACACTGAGAAAACACTCCTGTAAGCTGGTAGAGATGATGTGCTCAACCCCTTAAAGTCTGTCAAAAACAAAGATAGATTCATCCGTAGACCACCAAACCGCTGCAGGATGCAGCAGGATAAAGGTCTCCAGACCAGGTCTGTCGGCCCAGTGAGCAGTCTTTTCCTGATCTATGGAAATCAGACCAGTATCTACAGCCAATGAGCTAGAGACCTCCAGAACATCACGAATTAAAGTGACATTGTCACTTATGAGCCAGCCAGGCACACAGTATGTCTGATCAGTATGGATAACAGCAGCCATCACCTCTCGAAGTCTGATCGCCAGGACCTTGGACAGTATTTTATAGTCTGTGCAGAGCAGGGAAACTGGTCTCCAGTTCTTCAGCTCTTGCAGGTCTCCCTTCTTGGGCAGCAAAGTGATGACTGCTCTCCTGCAGCTCAGAGGCAGCCGACCTCTCTCCAGGCTATCTGTGACAACCTCCAACAAGTCTCCACCCAACACCGACCAAAAGGACTTGTAAAAATCAACAGAGACCGTCTAGGCCAGGAGCTCTTCCACCCTGTAAACTCATCAGTACAGTTCATTGAGGGAAACGCGAGCTTCCAACTTTACATTGGCCTCAGCATCCACCTGAGGAAGACCAGTGAAGAAACTGCTCCACAAACCTGGATTTTCTGTCAGTTCACACATAAACAGATCTTTATAATAGCTGGCTGCAAGTTTCCTAGTCTCAGAAGAGTCTGAGATTGCAGAGCCACTGTCAGATCGCAGAGAGTGAACAATTTTTCTCTGTCCATTTTTCCTCTCCAGACCAAAAAAAGAACTGAGAGGGGGCGTCCATCTGTGTGACGTCGAGGAAGCGTGATCTGACCAGAGCTCCCTGTGCTGCAGTGCCCAGGACAGAGCCGAATCTACCAAAACCCTGCAGTTCCACCACCTGAGCCTCCAGGTCTCTCATAGGTCTGGTTACATCTGTTGTGACATAACAAGTGAACTGTTGACACAACTGTTTAATCTGAGATTTACCAAAATCCCACCACTGTTGAACACATATGAAATTAGATTTACAGATTTTGTGGTTAACCCAGAAATATTCAAAGGCTGCTCTAAAAGCCTTGTCATGAAGCAGGGCCGTGTTAAAATGCTCTTTATAAAAACAGAGCAAACAACAAGAAAGTGATCTGAGAAGCCCACCAGGTGAATGTGACAACTTTTGAAAATGCTCACATGGTGTTTAAAAGAGTACAGGCGATCCAGCCTGGCCAGAGATAACACATTGTCTTTACAGTGACTCCAGGTAGACTGACTTTTACAAAAAATCCTCCACACATCAGACAACTCATGTGCTTCAGTCAGCTGCCTGAACTGCGTGATGAAGCAAGATGAGGTTCTTGATGATTCATGTCAAGCTTTGGATTTTCAATACAATTAAAATCACCTCCTAAATACAAATACTCATCACTATTACAGTTCTGGATGGTGTCACACAGAACATTTAGCACCGCTAACCTGTCTGCTCCACTGGTTGGTGCATAAACATTAACAAGGTTAACATTTTCAAATTGAGCTTCAACCTTCAATAAACAACCCTCAATAATTTCCTCTACTTTATAGGAAGAAGGTACAAAGCTCTTGGAAAACACAATTCCCACTCCTCCACTACAGCTGAACTTATGGCTCTCAATGACTTCCCCATCACACCCCTTCCTCCAGACACTTTCATTATCTATACTACTGTGTGTTTCCTGAATCAACATCACATCTATTTTCTTCAGCTCCATCAGCTTAAAAAAAGCAGTTTTTTTAACATCATCCCTAGCTCCATTTAGGTTCAAAGTGCCTATGTTGAAATCACACATGGAGAAAAAGAAGAGAACAAGAAGAAAACAAGAAAAGAGAGAAACACACCTTTTATGTTTAAACATTATCAGCTATTTGTGCTTTTACTCTGAGTCACAGTTTCTTTAAACAATAGATTTCCTGGTCTGTTAGTACATCATCTTCAAAGTTTCCTGATCTTTTTGTCAGAGACTTGGCTGACTCAATAAATAGTTTCAGATCTGAAAAGTGGTCTTCCACTTTCACAAGCCTGGCACCTTTAGTTTTCTGCAGGAACTTCCTTACATCAGCAGGGGAGTACTGATCCTGCTGGTCCTGCTGGGTCAGGGAGAAATCACTCTCTGGCTCCTCTAAAGATGTCCCAGCTTTTGTGCCTGCAGTTATTTTGATGGCTTTTGCATTGCTATGGACATGTTCTGAAAGTTTCCTTTTTTGTGACAGTTTAACATGTCATCATCAGACATCTCTTCATTTTCAACAAAGTCCTCACACACTGACAGATTATCACGCACATCCAACCTCTTGGGACACTCAGTCTGTTTATTCTGCTCTTTGTTTGACCCTGTCTCTGTAAAGTTGTCAGCCTGCTGATTATCACCGCCAGAGCATACAGGGGGGTCCCCCTCCTCGGGAGCCTGGCCAGGGTGGTGTACAGCCCTGGTAGGTTCCGTCTCCGGAGCCGATGGCTCTCCCGCGGGAGCTGGGGCCGCCGACACCACCTCTCCAGCAACATCAGCGGGCCGCTGCTCCCCCCTTCTCTCTGGGCAGGAACGAATCAAATGCCCTTCCACACCACAACCAAAACACTTCATGGTCTCCAACGAGGCAAAAACCATGTAACTAAACCCCTCTACTTTAAAGTTAAAATACAGACTGAGATCATCAGTGTTATCTTGAAGAACCATGAAAATCTGCCTCCGGTGACACACAACATGTTTGAGCAAAGGGGATTTGCAGCCCAAAGAAACCATTTTGATCGGGGAGACGAGCTGTCCGTACCAAGACAGCTCTTTAGTCAGCACTTCATTTTTAATGAACGGGGGGGCATTAGAAATGACGATCTTTCTTTTTTTTATTAATTTTAAATTAATTAATTTTTTTAATTTTAATTTTAATTTACAATGTAAGCTGAATGAATAGAGACTGTAGTTTCTCAAGATTAAAGCGGAGCTACCGCTCGCAATCACTGCGCACAAAAAAACACACAAGATTCGACTATCAGTCGACTATAGGCAGGATTTGACGATTCTGATTCGACTCCAAAAATCCTTAGTCAGGGACAGCCCTAATATGTTGCTAACCATATGTGGCACTTCCAAAGTACCAGATCTTGATCAGCCTTTTGAGAGTACCTGGAACAACATTGAGAATATGATTGAGTGGAATTCACAACATGATGGGCCTCTGTGTAAGTCCCCAAACTCCTGACTCTACTCAAACCAAAAACTGGGTTTAATGTGGTACTGTAAACTTCACAAGTCACTCCTCAAGGCTTTGGCAATGGTTTTTCACAAGCGCTGGTGTGATCAGTATAAGTAACAGCATAAAGTATCTATAAAAAATGTCCCAGCTTCAAACCCTGACAGAAACTCAGTGTTGTAAAGTGTCATTTCAACAATGATGTGTCATTTTGATCATAACCACAATGAGGAACCTGACTACAGCTTTCCTTCTCTGCAGCTTCAGTAAGTACTGCCACTGAAATACGCCACAGCTGCGTACTATTTATAAAATCATATAAAGGTATTGATTACATTCATGTTGCTTTTTCAGCAAAATTATCATTATTTCTGTTTCAGGCTGGATCTCTGGGTCAATTTCTGAGTGTCAGACTGTGGAGGTCCAGTCTGGTGAAGAGGTCACACTGACGTGCTCCAACATTTCCAGTTCTCCTACTCAGAGAATCTGGTCAAGAGATCCGAGCCCCGTTGTATCACCTTTATGTTCACGCCTCTTGAGCCTGCTAAATTCTGTGATGTATTTCAAAATGAAAGCAAACATCCAACATTTCAAAATAAAGCAAGTGGAGTTTTCTGACTCTTTGTTTCTGTGAATTTTACATAAGCAACAAGCTGCTTATTGTCGTTTACATATTTAGAGGCCCAAGGTACGATGGTTTTAACATGGATTGACACTTGATTGGTCAATTTGGTGCAATTGTCAAAATAGGGAATGTGATGAAATACTTTCAAGTATCAGACTATTGATCAGTGGCACGATCATAACCACAATGAGGAACCTGACTACAGCTTTCCTTCTCTGCAGCTTCAGTAAGTACTGCCACTGAAATACGCCACAGCTGCGTACTATTTATAAAATCATATAAAGGTATTGATTACATTCATGTTGCTTTTTCAGCAAAATTATCATTATTTCTGTTGTCTGTTTCAGGCTGGATCTCTGGGTCAGTTTCTGAGTCTCAGACTGTTTTCAAATGAAAGCAAACATCCAACATTTCAAAATAAAGCAAGTGGAGTTTTCTGACCCTGGACTTTGTTTCTGTGGATTTTACATAAGCAACAAGCTGTTTATTGTCGTTTACATATTTAGAGGTCCAAGGTACGATGGTTTTAACATGGACTGTCTTTTGATTGGCCAATTTGGTGCAATTAGGAATGTGATGAAATACTTTCAAGTGTCATCAAGATAATAACTTTGTCCTTTCTCCTTGCAGCTCTTAACTTGAATCATTTTCCAGAAAGTTTTTATATTGTCTGTCTGAGCAGGCGGATGAACAAATGAACACTCCGCCTCTTTATGTTGAGACCACTGTTACTGGAGCACAGTTCAGTTACAAACATTGCAGTGATGCAGTCGTACTGTACGCACGATGATGAACTTTACCTTGGTAACAGCTTTACTCTTTACCTTCAGTAAGTCTGATATCTTCTCAATACAACAATTGCTAGCTTTCCTTCAGTATTGTAATCTGCCAGAGCTGAAACATCCAGGCTATTGATTAATAACATAATTTATTTTAATTGTTTGTTTCCTGTTGAATTGCAAGTTTAGGGAATAAGTTACTGGTTGTTTGTTTCAGGTTGGATCTCTGTCTCAGTTTCTGAGTTTCACACTGTGGAGGTTCAGCCTGGTGAAGAAGTCACACTGATGTGTTCCAACTTTAGCAGTTTACCCTCTCACATAAACTGGTTCAGACTGAACAACAGATCCAATGCCAGCTGCATCTCCACTATGATGAGCTCTGATGCCAATGCTTTGTTCTGTGACGGATTTCAAAACAGCAAATTTAATATGACGTCCAACACCACTACCCTCTTTCTCAAGATCAAACAAGTGGATTTATCTGACTCTGGACTGTATTTCTGCGGACTTATCTCAAATGGAAACTCAGTAATTGTCAGTGCAACTTATTTAAAGGTCCAAGGTAAGATTGTTGTGTTTTCTGTCTTTTGTTTGGAAAGATACATTATGTGCTCCACTAGACACAGGACAAAGGCAAAGTAATATTGTAAAAATAACATCAGTTACAGATTAGTAGATTCTTGTTTTGTAAATTTTAGAGTCTGCCACTGTGGCATTTATGGATGAGCTGTTTCAGCTTCCAACAAACAAAGTCAGGTTATTCCATGTAAATGTTTGTCAGATCTTAAACCACTAGCAATAACGTACTGTACAGAGAGTCTAATTTAATAATATCTCCTGTAGAAAATCCTCATGAAAAAACAACTCCGAGTGTGATCCTGGGTGCTGTGACTGTTTTCCTCATAATAGCTGTCACTGGTTTGGCTGTCAAAATCAGTAAACTTCAGACAGGTACTGTCAATGCACATACACTGCATTAACTGCAATGCTTTTCAAATAGCACTTTTATTAACTGACCAGATTTGTTGTTGCTACCTTTTTAGCTGAAAAGGAAGAACAGAATCCACAACAGAGTGAGGTGAATCCAATTTTGACATAGAATTAATACTAAGGTTAAATTAAGGAGAAATTATTATTTTATGTTTTATGATGTAAATGCTGCTGGGATCACTGATGTAAAGTGTTTAAGATGTGTGACTGGACATACTTTTATTTACAGAATCTGGACTCTGATGACCTGAAGGACGCAGCACTGACTTTGTATTCAACCACAATAAGGAATAGGAGGCCTGCATCAGAGAGAGAAGTGGAAACTTGTGTTATTTATGCTGCCAGCAAGTAGACACGAGAAGCTGAAATTAACTGTGGCTCATGCTGGAACTGGAGTTTGCATCATTTTTTCAACAAATATCTGCTTTTGTGGGGGGCTGTTTAGCTCAGTTGGTAGAGCGTGTCTCCCGTGTACTAATGCTCAGTCCTTGTTGCAGCATCCTGGGTTCAAGTCTGACTGGTGACTATTTACTACATGTCGCTCCCTCTCTCTATCCTTCTCCACCTGTACTCATTAAAGGCAAAATCCTACTTTTGTGATAGATTATATTTTCATAAAGGATGTGTAATCATTCTGTTGATGCTGAAATTTAACTCCCACCTGCTGGTTGTCCCCACATATGCCACTACCTTTCTCGGCCAATCTGTCTCTTTAATGTGTATCTAAAGAATATGATTGGTGTCTGAAGAAGCAGGAGCCAGAAAGTCTGCAGCAGTGGAGGAGTGAGTGAGGTACACATTACTTGTTTGACAGGAAGAGACAGCACAGTGTGGTCTGAGCAAAACTGAGGTGAAAATAATGAAGCTTGTTCAGTCCAAGCCTTGTGAGAATAAAGTCTGAAATGAAGCAGTGAAGACTGGCTGACTTCTTCTGTCAGAAAGACAAAATCATCATCTTCTCTATGTTTGTAAAAAAAAAAAAGTTTTTGAAAAAAACACACAGTACATCAATATAGCAACTGTGATGTAAAAGTATATGTGTATATGATGACATTTAAATCTCTGAAGAAAAAATGCAGTTCAAGTTGTTGCCCATCGTTTCACTGTGGTGACAAACCACTACCTGTCTCAGTGAGGTTTCTATTTATGTATCATTAAAAGGTCTCGACCATGAGAAGCTCAGCTCTCTGCATCATAGCCACACACAAAAAGGCTTTTATGTTTACAAAGAATAGAAAGACAATTTCTATTTAAGAATCTTCGTGAGGCTTCCAAAGTGTGTGAGAATTCAGAGCTGCGTTGACAACCTCCGGCAACTGCACAGCGGCCACAACAAGCTCATGTCACGTTGTTTATTCTGCAGATTATAGATTGTTTGAAGGTAAATGCATTTTGCTAATTCAGTTTTGCCCAATTTAATTCAAGCTAGGTCTCAAGTCTCTAAAGGGAAAATAGAGTCTAACTTAATGATATTTCTTGTAGAAACATTTGATGGATTAAAAAAGCTATCTTAATTTCGTTAAAAGGCAGCAATGAGCCACATGGTGACGTGGACAGCAAGTGTAAAAGTAAGATTCTCCTGAAGATTTCTTTCACTGTGCAGATTATCAAATGTTTGAAGGTACATACGTTTGGCTAAATTCAGTTATGTCCAATTTAATTTTGGCAAGAGGCCTGTAGTACAAAGCGAGGTAACTGGCTTATCCAGGTAACTTCAGGAGGAACTTTGTGACGTTGGGTGTAACTTTTAGATTAACCTGTACTTCCAAAGGTGGATAGGTGTTACCCGAGGACTGTTGCCATGGCAATTACGCTGCATCTCTAAACTGCTCTGAGCAGGTTTTGTTCGTGATTAACTCGAGGTTACGCTGCATCTCTAAAATGGACTATACACCACATAGTGTTAATGATGAGAAGTAGGTTATTATTATGGTATGTATACACACCACTTGATAGAACATTTTTAGATTTCATCCTGATTGTTTCACTGCAGTTGCAGCTGAAATTAAGTTATTTACATTCATGCAGCTAGCTCTGCAGCTTTGGTGATTTTAGAGAGGAGATCTTAATTAATTAACGGGACAGTTTATTAGACGTAGCCCATCTGTAGGCTATAATTGAATTATCCTCAGTGTTTTCACATATTTAGACTATTTTACATGTCCAAAAAATGCGGAGCCATGGTGGGGGTTAATAAACCGAGGAAAAAAAATCCAAGATGAAAGTGGCAAATTTACAAAAACAAAACTCGGAAATTCCCCGAAATTAAAATCACAAGAAATCTAAATCAACCTGGTGCTTTCTTCTAAATATGCCCAATCCACTGCAAAGTCTCTAAGGGGCATAATATAGTAATTGTAGGCTAAACTCATGATATTTTCCCACTGCTAAATCCTATTGTGAAGTCTAACATAGTGTGGCAGGTTAAGGGGTTTTCTTCCTCCCGCCACTACTGTATATGGCACTGCGCTGGTGCCCTGACAACCGGATGCCGCTGCCGTGGCCTAGAAGTACAGGTGGTGATGCACCTGTGTCAGTCTCTTTCTTACCTGTGTTGGGCGTCTTGGCTGTTGGTGACGGTGATCCGGTGTTGTGGTGTGCTTATGAGTGCTGTCACAGCTGTTATGGCCTGCAGCGCAACAGTTTAGCCGGTGGTTAATACCCCTAAACCTGCGGAGTCGCCGGTCGGCGGTCCGTGTGGTAAGTGTGCTGTCTGCTTGCATGCCGATGAACCCGTCGGCTGTGTGTGCGGTTAAACACAATGCTCCCTTGATTGTTTTAGAGCGAATCGTTTGCTGTGCAGGTTGTCTCGATCTGGCCTGTGGCTGATTATGTATTGTATTGAGTATATACCATGCGAGATATAATATAATGGTGCTAAATCTTCCCTTCCCTTCAGTGATCTGCTGCCTCAGCTGGGTTTTGAACGGCGGCTCAATCTGTCTTTTTCGTGCTTTGGCTTTGGGTTTCGCTCTCTCCCCCTGTGGGATTGCCCTCTGCCTGGTCGGCCCAGTTCCGGCTCTGTCTTGGCTCTAAGCGGGCTTGCCGGTTTTAGCATCTCTCTGATGGTTGGGTCTAGTAATTGTATATTTAGCTTATACAGTTTTTGTCTTTCATTTTGGTTGGTTTTTAATTAATTGATTTGCATGTTTTGATTCATTTTTGGTGTGTTTTGCTTTATCCTTTTAGCCACGGTGTATTTTAAATAGTATATTGTATATAAAATTATTAGGCCTATACTTTAATTTTATCCAGTAATGGCATGCCTTCTTAATCGGTATATGTAGTTGGTATGTTTTTTGTTTTCTTTTTGTTAAGTTACTTTAGGTTTTTAATTAGTATTTTGTTAATAAAACTATTTGTTTAAATGTGAAACACACTCTGCCCTGGCCTTATTTCATGCGAACCTGTGTGACCTATCAATATTATTTCCTAGGGTGAAATTCCCCAGGTGGCGTTGTTGGCCACTTATTTAAGTTATTACGTATTTAAATAGAATCACACTGCGTGCATAATACACTGCAGAGGGGTGTGTGATGTTGCAGCCTTGCAAAGGAGTTTCTCTCAAAGGTATGAGAATATTCGAGATGTTTACTTGTAGATTAATCTAGGAAATATTTTCCTCAGATTATTACTGATCTCTCTGCTGGCTCCCTTTTTTTTTTTTCCCTATTAGTGGAGAGCCAGGACGAATGAAACACTTTTCAGATACATCATAAAAATAAAACGTTACAGACAGAAATCATTTGTTATCAACTCGCATGTGTGTTCTATCAATACCAGGTGTTATCTTGTTAAAATGTGGAACGACTTCAGTATCACTTTGAAGGAAAGGTGCGCATTGTTTCATTTGTCCCTACTGTGCGGGACGGATGAAATACGACATACATTTAAATAGTTTGTTGTTCTTGTTTTTATTTAGAAAGCTTGACACTACCCTTCTTAATATGTAATTGCAAACTCATTATGTCCTTTTCCTTAATAATAAATGGCTAGCTAAGTTGTATTTATATGAACTACAAAATCTAACGGCTAATGCACATTTGGATCAGATATCGGCTGCCCTTATGTACATCTGCAGCCTGTTTTCCTGGTCTACTGTGAAGATCCTGTTATTTGGCTGTAAGCATCCTGGTGGTCCAGCCTGCAGCCTAGTGTACTCTGCCCCCCACCCCCCGCCGGCGTATCTAAATAAGGTAGAATGGCTGCGTGTCGGGACGAACGAAACGCCTGTCTCAGTCATCCCGACAGTGACCCTTGACCTTTAAACTTTACTAGCTTCTAAACTGTAAAACTTTGCCATTTAAAACTTCAGGATGTGTAAAAGTACTAACTAATCTTATGTTATCATGACCATGGAACAACAAACACAACTCGTCATTCAAAAAAAGATCTCTTGAGTGAATTTACTTTCCGTGATTGAAAACAGCTTCTTTTATATAACTCTGTGAAGTGTGACGTATCCACCTGATTTTTCCCTGTTCTGTTAAGTACTGTGGACTGTATGTGCAGAGGTAGTTTGGCATATCAGACTTGTATGGGCTCCAAGAAAATCGATGCGTTTCAATCGTCCCGGTTCTCCCCTACAATGGACCTCATGTGCAGTTTACTTTTACGTCTTAATCATATTACACATAAAAGAGCCCATAAAATAGGCTACAAAATAGAGAATTAGCCTACAATAAGAACACTGAAGATAATTACAAATTTACTTAATGCGATGCCAACAAGACTCCCTGGCTTTGTCGGCCACCACAATATTAAATTCATATCCTGACACAATCGGGCATTCTAAAATACGGAGCATTCGCCGTTGTGGAAAGACTGTCTGCACAGCTGAACACGCCCCTCTTATGCAAACGCGCACCAACTTCAATTAAGTTAACACCGACTCAACTAACATCTTATTCACTGTTGTAGTACCGTGTAACACCAGTGTAGGCGGTCAGAGTTTGCTTGATAACCCTGAGTTAAACCTGAGTAGGTTGAATTCCCTGCATAATACATCCAAGAAAGGTTAAAGTCAAGGGCAGCTGGACTTGGTACTAGATACTAGAAGTTTCGTCCCTCATTCAAGAGACTTTTGCAGTTCTGACTGACTGGTAGGGAAAGTCAGCTATTTAACCTCTGTGGGGGCATTTGCCAAGATCATTGATACCGCTGGTTCATTAGTGTTCCTGGCTGTGGTAAAGACAGTTTGTGTAGTGGTTCTTTAGTTTCCCCAGTATACAGGGCTGTATATTTCTCTCTTGGACCGCCTACACTAGATTGCTTTTCTTGTGTTTGGGTGTGCCATCTTTGGGGTGTGCCAGCATCTGTCTTAGCGTGTTCTTTGGTTTAAAAAACACGGATGTGGTGTTTGTTGAAAATCCTCCTGACTTTCTCTGATACTCCAGACACCAAGGTCATCAAGGTTCGGGTGTTTTTCACTGTTTCAGAGAAGACGCGCATTTCATATGGCATCAGTCCTTCCTCTGGTCCTCCTTCCCTCAATCTGCTGAGATCATTGCAGGTAACTATGTGCCTATGTGTCTTTTACTCGCAGCCTGATAAACAGTATGGTCTTAAGCCCCTGTTTAACACCGTATTTCAGTGCCCATCTAGTATCTGATATGATGTAATTCAGCACATGCCTGCTCGGTTCTGTACAGGGGTTCTTTACTACTGCTCTCTGCCTCGGGCTTTTCATGTATGCACATCGAAGGGCAAGGAGATCCCAGAACAGAGCCATAATGCCACAATATTAGTTCTTTGATGAAAGTTGTCCTGACTGAAGTGTGATCTTTGGTGCTCTAATGTTCCTCATTATGGTCGTCATCAGTCTGGCCGTCAAAATCAGGAAACTTCTTGCAGGTACTTGCATGTTTTTGTTTTTTTTTTTCTTACAAATGCAGAACTTCCTGTTTGTCAAAACATCAGCAGCAAAATTTACTATAAGAATTAAATGACCATATGTTTCCGTCCTATAGCTCATGAAGGACACAGTGCGGTAATCTCATGTTAACCTAAAGTTGATTAGAATCTATTTTATTTGTTGTCTGGTTCACCTCATCATGTTTTCTCACAGCCATGTTGGATTACTGACTGTAAATACTTATTTACAGAATCTGTGCCCTGAGTTTCCACTGGAATCCACCTCTCCATCTTCACTCCTTCAGCCCCTTTTCCCTTAATAAAACCTGTTTAATTCTGAGTGTTGCGTTTGGGGCCATTCTGTCCTGATTCACAACACAGAACAGTTGTGTACTGTCTCCTGTTAAGTAAAAATAAGAAACATTTATTCTGAAGGATTTGTAAAACACAAAATGCATCAATGTGGAAACTGAACAATTTAACTTTATCATATTATTCATGTGTGTGAAGGTATGCTAAATGTCAGATTTAAACAATGCAATGTATTTAAAATGATTCGTAGCATTTGTAAAACCTCCATCTGCACATTACTGCACTATTTTAACAAACAAGGTACAAGTCTGATTCATTTGTCACAATACAACAGGTTATTTTTAAGTAAAAGTAAAAGTTTCTAACTCCCTTCTACTACATAGCAGACAATATACACAAAAGCACTTGTTAAAATCTTAAACAGAAAGAGACTATCATCACTGGAGCAGTGCTGAGGATGAAATGGAGTTTAAGAGTCTGATAGCTGCTCTGCAGTCTGGTGGTGCGGCAGCAGAAACATATGTATCACTTCCCAGAAAGCAGCAGGGTGAACAGGCTGTGGCTGGGTGGCTACTGTCCTTTAGTATTCTTCGGGCTCTGTGTAGCCACCTCACCACTGATGCTTGGGGAGATGGGTGCCGTGCACATCCCATGCCAGCTTCTGATGTTTCCAGTCAGGATGCTTTCTGTTGCTCCTTTGTAAAAGCTGACAAGAACTTGGTGTGGGAATTTGGCCCTCGTAAGCTCCCTCAATACAGTTGTTTCTGAGCTTTCTTCACCAGCTTGGAGATGTGAGATGAAGATGTCAGGTTCTCTGTGATGCTGATTCCCTGAAACTGTTCACATGCTTCACCTCAGCACCACTGATGTAGACAGGAGTGTGTGTCTTTATCTCATTTTTCCTGAAATCAACAATCAGCTCCTTAGTTTTGCTGACGTGGAGCAGGAGGTTTTTCTCTGAGCACCATCAATTTCTTCCCTATACGAAGTCTCATCGTTGTTTGAAATCTTTCCAATGACGGTGTCATCCGCAAACTTGTGCACTATCTGTCTCAGTGAGGTCTGTATCATGGCTGAGGTCTTCCTGCAGTTGAGGCCTCAGTCATGAAACAGCTCTCTGCATCATAACCACACAAAACAAAGGTCTTCATGTTCCCACAGAACCAACAATACTTAATGAAGACCTTTTTAATGTGAAGATACAATATATCATATATAGTGTTTGTATAGCATGTACAGTGAGCAGGTGTGTGGAGGTAAATCAATCTTGTATCCCCCACACCCCTCCTCAGAGGTCACACTTAACACTTCAGACTTACACCACCAGGTTACTGCCACACGGTGCATCAGGTCTTTCCAACTTGTGAAAAGATGCCTGAAGAAGTGTGACAGTTGCTCAGCCTGAGGGCATTTACTCTGCATCAGGCTGTCAAGACCTGACAGACCACAGCACAGCTACAGCAGTCCCATCCATCTCTACTGTTACGTACTCAGTCAGTGCAGCAACATGATGGATCTTAATCAGAGTCGCACACATAAAATAAAAACCTTGATTTACACAGCTTTATTTTTACTTGCCTGCCCATCCATAGATCTGTGTTTTGAACCTAAAAAGCTGCCATGAGTCACTATAAATACTTGTATTTGTATTCTTTTTTTCAAACTAAAAACAAACAGGCTTGTATCACATATGATGCTAAATAGTGTTGCTAAATAGACACAACTGGAACTGCACCTCTTAAAGTATCAAAAGTAAAAGTATACATTTTAAATGTTTAATTTAAAAAAACGAATTAAATTATTATTCATTATTATTGCGTAATTAATATTGCTGCAGTAACACGTATGAAGCATTTTATATTGTCGTTGGTTGAGATGGGGGTCATTCATATGTTTTATTTATATACATTTGGGTAGTCTAAAACATATTGTATGTTAAAAATTTGTCATGGGTTTTCACTACTGTCTGTGACAGCCTATCAGAGGAGCCTTAATCGCAGGAGGCGTGGCCTTCAGCTGCGTGCTATTTTTCTAGTTACTTTCACAATGTCAGCAACAGCCACAAAGCACACAACTCACATTTGTTGTTGCTGCATAACTGATGAAGACCAGACATATGAACCCCACAGGCCCACTGTGGCACTTTGCACTGTGGTGACAAACAGCTCTGTCTGTATCAGTGAGGTATCTACATCTGTATCACGAGTGAGGCCTTCAGCTCTCTGCATCAGAGCCACACACAACAAAGGCCTCATGTTCCACGAGAGCAATAAAGCTTCATCATGACTTTTGCAAAGATATTCTTGGTGTATTTATTGAACTTGTTATCTAAATGTATCTCTTCTAAAAGCGTGAGAAGATGTAACATGACACTTGCACAGCCTCATATGAAACCGTTCACTCTCCTCCAGGCAGCACTTTTTTCAGACATGACAGACCACAGCAAAGCTACAGTGGGTGCAGCTCCCATCTATCGTCACTGTGAAATGTACTCATGCCTTCTCAATGCAGATGTGTGTTTGCAGTTAAAATGAAACCTTCATTTACACTTGGCTTCAGACTGCCAATCACTTTCAAGCATTCTCACCATTGGCCTGACAGCAAAATTTAAATAAAAATATTACCAAACTTAACTTTTATTAACATTACAGTATTGTGAAATAATCATTGCCAAGTGATATTTATCAATATATGTTTCTAATCATATGTTGCACTTCCAAAGTACCTGAACAACGTAGATCTTGATCAGCCTTTTGAGAGTACCTGGTAAAACATTGAGAATATGATTGAGTGGAATTCACAACATGATGGGCCTCTGTGTAAGTCCCCAAACTCCTGACTCTACTCAAACCAAAAACTGGGTTTAATGTGGTACTGTAAACTTCACAAGTCACCCCTCAAGGCTTTGGCAATGGTTTTTTCACAAGCGCTGGTGTGATCAGTATAAGTAACAGCATAAAGTATCTATAAAAAATGTCCCAGCTTCAAACCCTGACAGAAACTCAGTGTTGTAAAGTGTCATTTCAGTGGCACGATCATAACCACAATGAGGAACCTGACTACAGCTTTCCTTCTCTGCAGCTTCAGTAAGTACTGCCACTGAAATACGCCACAGCTGCGTACTATTTATAAAATCATATAAAGGTATTGATTACATTCATGTTGCTTTTTCAGCAAAATTATCATTATTTCTGTTGTCTGTTTCAGGCTGGATCTCTGGGTCAATTTCTGAGTGTCCGACTGTGGAGGTCCAGTCTGGTGAAGAGGTCACACTGACGTGCTCCAACATTTCCAGTTCTCCTACTCAGAGAATCTGGTCAAGAGATCTGAGCCCCGTTGTATCACCTTTATGTTCACGCCTCTTGAGCCTGCTAAATTCTGTGATGTATTTCAAAATGAAAGCAAACATCCAACATTTCAAAATAAAGCAAGTGGAGTTTTCTGACTCTTTGTTTCTGTGAATTTTACATAAGCAACAAGCTGCTTATTGTCATTTACATATTTAGAGGTCCAAGGTACGATAGTTTTAACATGGATTGACACTTGATTGGCCAATTTGGTGCAATTGTCAAAATAGGGAATGTGATGAAATACTTTCAAGTGTCATCAAGATAATAACTTTGTCCTTTCTCCTTGCAGCTCTTAACTTGAATCATTTTCCGGAAAGTTTTTAAATTGTCAGTCTGAGCAGGCGGATGAACAAATGAACACTCCGCCTCTTTACGTTGAGACCACTGTTACTGCAGCACAGTTCAGTTACAAACATTGCAGTGGTGCAGTCGTACTGTACGCACGATGATGAACTTTACCTTGGTAACAGCTTTACTCTGTACCTTCAGTAAGTACACCTGCCGATTTCTTCTCAATTGCTAGCTTTCCTTCAGTGTAGTAATCTGCCAGAGCTGAAACATCCAGACTATTGATTGATAACATTATGTGCATAGTTTGTTTCCTGTTGAATTACAAGTTTAGGGAATAAATTACTGGTTGTTTGTTTCAGGTTGGATCTCTGTCTCAGTTTCTGAGTTTCACACTGTGGAGGTTCAGCCTGGTGAAGAAGTCACAATGATTTGTTCCAACTTTAGCAGCACGCCCTCTCACATACTCTGGTTCAGACTGGACAACAGACTCAATGCCAGCTGCATCTCCACTATGATGAGCTCTGATGCCAATGCTTCGTTTTGTGATGGATTTCAAAATAGCAAATTTAATATGACGTCCAACATCACCACCCTCTTTCTTGAGATCAAACAAGTGGATTTATCTGACTCTGGACTGTATTTCTGTGGATTTATCTCAAATGGAAACTCAGTAATTGTCAGTGCAACTTATTTAAAGGTTCAAGGTAAGATTGCTGTGTTTTTTGTCTGTTTTTGGAAAGAAAATGTCAAAATGAGGACTAATCTCAACCCACATGAAGTAGAATATTAAACGTAAAGTTTAATTTAATGATATTTCTTGTAGAAGCATTTGATGGAGGAACAAAGCTCACAAGTGTGATCTTTGGTGCCCTGATTATTTTCCTCATTATGGTCGTCATCAGTCTGGTTGTCCAAATCAGGAAACTTCATACAAGTAGGCTACTTACATATTTATTTACTTAAAAATACAACTTTTACAACTACTGAACATCCTGTTTGTCAAAACATATTAACAGCAATATTTTTGAACAATGAACTGACCAGATGTTTCTGTCATTTAGCTCAGAAAGAGGCACAGAATCTACAACCCAGTGAGGTAATAACATGTCAACCTAAGGTTGATCACAGTCTGTTTCATATTTTGTCTGGTTCAAGTCATTTATCATTTAATAATTTTTTTTAAGTTACAGAATGTGGGCTCTGATGCCCTGACCTATGCAGCACTGAGTTTCCGCCCGAAAGTAAAAATAAGCAGAAGGCCTGCATCAGAGAACCAGCTGGAGCCAAATGTTGTGTATGCTGCCACCAGATAGACTCAAGAAACATCTGGAACAGCAGCTCAGAGTGGAACTGATGATTTATCAAACTTCTTCTAAGGAGGACTTATATATATATATATATATTGTGCTGTATCTGCTACAATTTGAATTCTACTTTCCAGCCAAAGTTTCCTTTTCACATGTTTTGTTTCTTTACCGGAGGAGGAGCCAGTAATTAATGACAGACATTAATGATCGTTAACGTGTCCTTTAGCAAGACTTAGAGGGAAGTCTGCAGCAGTGGAGGAGTGAGTGAGGTACATATAACTGGTTTGACAGGACAAGACATTATGGTGTGAACGCAACAGAGCTGAAAATCATGAGGCCCGTTAGATCAAAGCTCTGTGAGAATAAAGTCTGAAATTAATTAAATACTGTCTGACTTTTTTCTGTCAGTATGACAAAATAATCAGTGTCTGTTCATTTGTCAAAAAGCCTTGGGAACGGATTGACCCGGTACAGGGTGCGCAATCAATTTTTGTTTTCCGTCCAAAAACATCGGGCCGACATCTTGTTTAGATCGGCTGCAGTCTTAAGTTTCGTTTGTGTCATCAGATTGAAGTGGAGAAGAAGAGTGTGATTTGGCGGAGGCGATCTTTATCGACCTCTTTTGGCGACCCGTAGGAGCTACACAGACATCCAGGATAAGACCACCAGCCCTGTAGGATGTGGCCTGTAAAAAGCATGGGAGTGCTTTTGGTCAGATATTGGTCTGTTTTTATCGATATTTCAATGTTTTGGAAGCTTTATGTTATTTGGAACGTGGTTGTAAGGAGAGAAATAGTGTTTTAAAGATAACTACCAATAAAAGTGAACATATAAACAGTAAATATGGCCAAAACATAGACATTCGCCTGGTATATTTTTGAAAGATTGTGTAATAACTGTTTCTTTTCATCAAATTTACAGTTACAATTGTATTCTAGGTGTATTAGAAGATATTCAGGTGCATTATAATCTACCTTATGATGGTTTTGATGTTTTATTGCATTAAAATATAGCTTTTTTTTTACTAAGCGAGGATGAAAATATCATATTTTTTCTCTATTTCATCTCCATGTAGTCTGTAATGATAAAATAAATATGTTAATATACAATGGATTTATGTTCCTTATCTTCAAGAAATATGCATCTAGGCTTAATGGTTGAGGAGATATTACTGATTTATTCTGGGTATGTTATTTTAGGTGCCAGGGTCAATTTGGTTTTAAAATGCAGACAGTACATCACTATGGCAACTGCATATTTAAAAGGTGATGTCAAAGCAAGTGTGTGTAATGACACAATGAATCTGTAAAGAAAAAAAAATATATTTTTAGTTTACTTTTAGCAATCTGCTGATTGATATATATTGTTCCACTGTGGTGACAAACAGCCATACCTGGATCAGTGAGGTCTCCAAATCTGTATCATTAATAAGGTCTCGACCATGAGAAGCTCAGCGTTCAACACTTTTATGTTGCCACAGAACAGAAAGACTTTATAAAGTGAAGATGTTTTGTATTTGTAGACATGTGATTGTTGAGCATCTTGTTAGTGGTAAATCAGTCTGTAACAGTCAGTTACTGCTTCCTTCATCACACTTACATAACAGGTTAAATACTCACACAAACATCACTGCTTTCTTGTGAAAAGATGTCTGTTTCAAGGTGACACTTGCAGTCTCACACCAAACTCTGCTGAAGGCTGCACATTTTGAAGACCTGACAGATCACACATCGCCCAAAATATGGCACATTATACATTGGAAGGTGACAGGCGCGTCCTTCATGCCAAAGAGCATCACAGTATATTGCATGAATGCATTGGGGGGGATGAAGGCCGATATGTCGGAAGCACGTTGGTTTAACACTAGAACCGCCTAGATGGTCTGACAGACCGTTGAAAACTACAGCCCATGACTTTTTCCTAAATATGTGTTTGGTGTTTTCTGAAGCTCTTCTGCTGAATTGTCTCCCAGCACATCCACTCCATCTGTGGCTGACTTCTTTGAAAAGGCAACAAACGGTCTGACCGCTTTGAGTGTTTCTGTCACTCATTTGTGAGAAGGCGATTAAGCTAGCAGCACCTAAATTTGGAGTGCACACGTATTAAAGCCTTTATGGTAAATCCACTGAAACTGACCATAGCGAGCTGACAGGCAGGTTAGCGACTTTATCCTGTCAGTTTCTCTCTTTACAAAGACAAGTGTGAGAGTCCTACCTGAAGAGAGGCTGTGAAGTCTTCATGTTACGCCATAGGAAAACCACATACAACATTATTTATCAAATTGGGTCGGGCTTGATGAATTTAGCGCGAGGATACACATGTGACAACGTCCGGTTTTCAAATTAAGGTGTCTAAACAGGATGGTGTTATGACCCTGGGGTCATATATTTTAATTTGTCTGTCTCTCACCCTGTACTGTCAGCTGTCTCCTCCCTTAGAGTGTGTGTGTGAGCGTATGCAGGTAACGGAGAACAGGTGGGCACCACGGATTGGTCCAGCAGAGCTGATTGCTGCCTCCTGATTGGTCCCCTGGATGACAGCAGCCATTTTAAGCCCCATCTGACAAGAACTTTCCCTCCTCTCTCTCTGCCATTCCCAACATGAGCCTATGTAATGTGTATATTGTGTGCTTTCATTGTAAGTGTAGAACCTGTGTAGTGAGTACATTACACTTTGTGAGTAGCTTAACTTAGTAATTCTGATTATTGTCTTTGACAACTTTGCTTTGTTGGTCTTAGCCATTTTGTTTGCTAAGTAGATTTTCTTTGTTGTAGCTTTGTTGTTTCAGCTAGTAGCAGAAGCCCATTTTTGTTTGTACCCTTTTTCTCCTGTTTTTGATAGTAGAAGCTAGTTTAGAGCTTTGTCTTTTCTTTACTTTGTAGTTTTTGGTTAGGGAGGTTTTATTTTTCTTAGAGTATTTTGGTTGTTGTTTTTGGCACTGCTCATCTTCGAGAATAATAAAAAATGCTAATTTGCATTTCCTTTGTTCTGTCCTTGCTTGGGAATGGGATTTTGCATCCAGGATACCCTTAGACCTTAGGACGTAACAATGGAAATAAGACTAATTGGATTATATTCACATTAAATTAAAAGTAAATAGACACATTTAATTTTCTTTACCGGACCCTCTCAGGCCTCTGACCCACCCACCATAGTCTCTACAAATCCTGTGGGAAGCCCTGAGTAAAAAGCACATTTTGATTATTTAATTTATACAATGGTTAAAAATATATATATATTGAAAATAAATGGAAAAAATGTGAATGTACTTGTTTGGTATTTAGCAAATGTTGGGAAATGGGACCTATCTGCCTACAACTTGGAAAAGCACATAGTCAAGATGGAGAGCGCTTTCCAGCGCAGCCACTTGACTATTTTGTAAATATAAACAAGATCTTGATGATGTAAATAGTAGGCTTCACAAATAAGGAACTGTAGCCTAATAAATCTCAACAGTCCGACCACCAGATGCCCAAGAACTGCCGGCTGCTGCCTGGTCCAGCTTACAAGCCACACTGGTCTCTATAAACTCGCATGTCATCTTCAGGTGGAACAATTATTGTAAACAATTATTGTAAACACTATATATGTGTCTTGTGTCAAATGCAAACACCAACAAACAATAACTATTTTGTTCATAAAAATAACATTGTAATAAACAATGCAAACCCCAGCAGCTGTACAATAGGCGGACTGCAGCAGCGTCAATAAAAACGGTTTCCTCCATTATTTCGATGTTTCTCTTTCATTCTGCTAAGTGTTTATTAAAATACATTTAGTAATATTTTACTTGTATAGGCAAGTTATATATGAGTGTAGTTTCATTTTGGCATTGTAAAGCGAAGTGGCCCATTTGGAAGGGAGACGTGCAGCAGCAGCAGTAAATAAATGAATGTACATTATGAAAAAATACAACTGAAAATAATCACTGTATGCAACAGCACAACTTGCTGTCATAAACAGGCAACAGTATATGCCAATGCAATATAGCTGTCAGACTAAGAAAACAGTTTGCTTTGATAACAGATTTTTGTCTGCTTTCTTGTGGATGGATCATCCGCAGCATGTCTTTAAAAAGAATATTTTTATTTGGATATTTTATTTTAATATGGAACCAGGAAATAGAATACCTCAGCGGAGGCAGGGATACTGTATATAGACCACAACAGGGCAAATCTCCAAAATTCTTCCAGCATATGATGGTCTGGTAGACCGTTGAGGCGCCTGTTGAGGGTGCTAGATTGTTGGTGTTCCTCGGCTGCATTTGAAATGTCTTTTTGCTTAGGAAGGTTCCATGATAAGAGCTGGTCGAATTCTAAAAGCTAAGGAAAAGGAGCCTCAATGCTTCCTTTCATATCTCCTTTAGCATAGGGTACACCGGACCATCCATTACAAAAGGAAAGGAGGGAATGCTGTCCCACAATTTCTTGCGGCGGCAACATTTAAAGCGACTCATGTTCTCAAACTCAAACGATAAAATCCATCAATCACATTTAGCAAAATCCCTGCAATACAGATGCACATTATGATACTTGAATAAGACTCACAATTACCTTCTTTCTCTTGGTTTGTTTTATTTTGGCTTTTTTGTAATCTAATAGGCTACTGTTTCAACGCCATTTTATGTTTCGGGTTGTTGAAATAAGCTATAAGGTGCTTTCTACAATAAAATAATAAAATCACCGATTATGACGGATAAAGGATGTTGACCTTGTAAGTTACCATTGGCTATTAAGCTTTTTCTCTCTTAGGCCATAACTTGCTAATATGCATGTATTAAACTGTCAACAATAGGCCTAACTGAGACTCAAATCTTTCCTTGACCTCTTGACGTTTGCAATCGAGGTCTAGGAAAAGCGGTTAGGAAAGGAGATTTTTTTGACTTTTCAGACGCAGACGCAGCTCTAGTGACCTGCCAATATCCCTTTAACAAATCCAATTTGGTAATACACAAAGCGATATCCACCCTGCCATTCATCCGGGGAAAGGGAAAGGAATCTGACACTGTCGGTGCAGAACCGAGTTCCAACAGATTTGGGTGCTAGTAAGCAAGGGGAACTCTCAAGGACATGGGCCTAGCAAGACTGTTTTCCAATAGATAGTTGAATTCCTTTCTCATAACCTCTCCCTTAGCCATCGGACAGCTGTAAGCGTACTGTTTGATAGGCTTGGTGCCCTCTACGTCAATGTCATGCTCAAGCAAATTAGAGCATAAGGGCTTTTTAAAAGGGTTTACAAGGAACTTAAAATGGTTCTCCCATGCCGGAAAACTCTATATGGTTCTAGTTAGCACTGTTACTTCGAAGAGTGTACACATCACTTGTCTGTTAGGAAAAGTGTGGTCTGAGCACAACAAAGGTAAAACACTTGAGGCCTGTTAAGTCCAAGCTCTGTGAGAATAAAATCTGAAATCAAGCAGTGAAGACATGCTATTATAATACAATAAAACCGCAGTTTTGGTTTTCGCCTGAGATAAGTGGTCATAGTATATACAAGCAGGTGGGTAGCACAATATTTTGGACCCTGTACACTGGCATTCTCTATCTTTGTGGGCCCTCTTCACGAGAGGCACCTGCATATTCAGTCCGTTTTGTCCCCAGAGTCCTATGCCCCTGTGTACAAGCATGATAAGATACTCTGTGTCTGTGTATATTGTGTATGTTTACTCTAGACTTATACAAACTGATATATCTTTTGGAGACTTCTAAAGTTTTGCTCGAACATTACCTAGGTTATCTCAAGTGTTATCAGGATATGAACTTTCTCCTTGCAGTCTCAACGACTGTAACGACCGTCGTCACAACACCAAGGAATACTAACGAACCAGCGGTATCGATGACCCGGGATAACGACCCCACTGAGGTTAAATAGCTGAGTTTCCCTGCCAGTCAGTCAGAACTGAAGAAGTCCTTTGGATAAGGGACGAAACGTCTTCCAGTATCTTCAACCAAGTCCAGTTGCCCTTCATTTTAACCATCGTTGGATAACTATGACCTGGATGACTGAGAATCTTCATAGACTCCTTGCAGCTATTAACTTGCAACCATTTTCCGGAAAGCTTTTGTATTGTCAATCTGGGCAGCCCAATAAAAAATTTAACACTCCGCCTCTTTATGTTGAGACCACTGTTACTGGAGCACAGTTCAGTTGCAAACATTGCAGTGGTGCAGTCGTAGAGTGCACATAATGATGAACTTTACCTTGGTAACAGCTTTACTCTGTAGCTTCAGTAAGTACAACTACTGATTTCTTCTTAATACAAGAGAGAGCTTAAATTGACAGTCTACTGATTAATGACATGATTTATGTGTGTTGTTTGGTTACTGCTGAATTAGAGGTTTAGGAAATAAATGACTGTTTTTTTGTTTCAGGTTGGATCTCTGTCTCAGTTTCTGAGTTTCACACTGTGGAGGTTCAGCCTGGTGAAGAAGTCACACTGACGTGTTCCAACTTTACCAGCACGCCCTCTCACATAAACTGGTTCAGACTGAACAACAGATCCAATGCCAGCTGCATCTCCGCTATGATCAGCTCTGATACCAATGCTACGTTCTGTGATGGATTTAAAAATAGCAAATTTAATATGACGTCCAACACCACTACCCTCTTTCTCAAGATCAAACAAGTGGATTTATCTGACTCTGGACTGTATTTCTGCAGATTTATCTCAAATAGCAACTCCGCAATTGACAGTGCAACTTATTTAAAGTTTCAAGGTAAGATTGCTGTAAAGTGCCGGCTTTAATTTGAATTAAAATATATAGACATGTGCCGTTTTCATTCACTGTCAAAATAAGGACTGAAATCAACCCACAAGAGGTAGAATAATATATACGATAAAATGTATGTAAGTGTTTGATGGAATAACAAAGCTAACTTAATTTCTTTAAAAGGCAGCAATGAGCCCCATGTTGACGTGGACAGCAAGTGTAAAAGTAAGATTCTTCTAAAGATTTCTTTCATTGTGCAGATTATCAAATGTTTGAAGGTACATACGTTTGGCTACATTCAGTTTTGTTCAACTGCATTTTGGCCTGGTCTCTAAAGGCAGAATAGACAATAACTTAATCTAATGATATTTCTTGTAGAAGCATTTGATGGATTAACAAAGATAACGATTGTGATCCTGGATGCTCTGATTATTATACTCGTTATGGTCGTCATCGCTCTGGTTGTCAAGATCAGGAAACTTAAAGCAGGTACTTGAATGTTTTTATTTTAGTTACAAATGCAACGTTTATAAATGCAGAACTTCCTCCTTGTCAAAACATATTAAAAGCAATATTTCTGAACAACAACAACTGACCAGATGCTTCTGTCATTTAGCTCATAAAGAGGAACAGAATCTGCAACACAGTGAGGTAATCACATTTGAACCTAAAGTTGATCAAAATGTATTTTACACATTGTCTGGTTCATGTTATGTAGGATGAGTGACTGTAAATAATTTTATTCACAGAATCTGGGCTCTGATGCTCTGAACTATGCAGCGCTGAGTTTCCGCCCAAAAGCAAAAAGCAGCAGAAGGCCTGAATCAGAGAACCAGCTGGAGTCAAATGTAGTGTATGCTGCCACCAGCAGCTCAGAGTGGAACTGATGCTTTATCATGTTCAACTGCTACTAAAGGAGGACTTACCATCACTATCAAACATTCTAATTTTGTAATAAAGATCCTGTATTCACACAAATGTGCTTTAATTTTATTAACTTTGCTTCAATTATAATACTACTTCTATTCCAGCTGTGTCTATATTTGTACATCAAATAGCCAGGTGAAAAATACAGAGCTACAGAAGTTAATCAGTGTTCGTAAAAAGTAGCAGTGCTCCCCCACATGCACATACTGGCATTTTCCACTGTAGTAACAAAGCTGAAAGCACTAGCAATCCGACCAGCCACAGGAAGGCTGGCCTTTATGGAGGACCGAGGACAACAAGAAATACTTGACAGATTCAGAAATAAATAAATGCACAATAAATAAATATCCAAGTAAATGCACAAAAAATACAGTGTCAAATTAATTACTTCTTTTTTGAATGTATTTATTTATGTGTGTGTTATAATATGTAATATTTTTGTCTGTATTATTCTTACTTTGCATTTTCTACCCTATTGATTTCCCCATTGGTATTTATTTCTGTCTCCCCTTTTTACATTTCTCTATGCATTTTTGCCTTATACAAAGGATGTGGCTGTGTCTCAAGGGGTCAACTTCTTGCCTATTGGTTGAGTCAGATTGCAAAAGTCAAAAAGCGTTGCTACTTGGCTTCCTTCAGTGAACTGACGTGTTTAGCAACTCTATTTGAAGACTAACAGCCATGTCTTTATTTTTCATGTGGACACTGACAGACAGTGTTATCAACTTGCGGAATGCACAGACACAGAACTGTGGTAAAGGGAGCCGTTGTTTGTGGTAAGCTCAGAGTCATAGCCGCAGCTATATTTGGAGTGCACACATATTCGAGCCTTTAGGGTAAATGCAGTAAAACGGAGCAGTTGACAGGCAGGGTTAGAGAGACTTTATTCTGTCAGTGTCTTATCTGAAGAGAGGCTATCAAGTCTTAATTGTACCCAATATGAATACAATATGATTATGAATTACAAATTAGTCAGTTTAGCACAAAGATACACTTGTCACAACGTCCAGTTTTCAAAATAAGGTGTTACCACAACGTATACAGTATGCCTTTTGCCCGATGTCAGCTGGGATTGGCTCAGGCTCACACAGGATAAACGGTTGACGATGGATGGATGGATGGACACTTTTCCATAAAAGAACAATAAAATGTTAGGGAAACAACATTCTTTAATTGTCACTTGCTGGAAACACATTAAAAAGTTAATTCTTGACAACGACTGAACCCATTTAAGTACAGGATAACTCTGATTACATCTGTCTACCGACAGTTGTATATTGAAATACCTTCCTTTCTGATAGGAAGTCTTCTTGAGGTGCTGTAAAAACACATTTCTCCATAATTTCTGAATTGAGTTGTGGACAACTAGGACCACATAAATCAAAAAATAGACAAAACAACAACAACATTTCACTGCCCAAGTTAGCTATTGTCAGGGTCAAGGGTGAGCAAAGCAGGAGAGAGCCCAAATGCACAACACAGAGCAAAGATACAGTTCCAGGGTTTTTAATCCAAAGTTACAGGCAAGACGAAACTCACAGGCAGTGGAAACTGGCAACATCCAAAATGCAGAACACACATCATACAACAATGACCGGACGGGGACTGAACAGAAAAACCAAACATATACAGGTGAAACTTGAAAAATTGAAATATCGTGCAAAAGTTCTTTTATTTCAGTAATTCCACTTAAAAGTTGAAACTAATATATTAGATAGACTCATTTCATGCAAAGTGAGATATTTCAAGCCTTTATTTGATATAATTTCGATGATTATGGCTTACAGCTTATGAAAACCCCAAATTCAAAATCTCAGAAAATTAGAATATTGTGAAAAGGTTCAGTATTGTAGGCACTCTAATCAGCTAATTAATCCAAAACAATTGTTGTTCTCTCAGTCTGGTTCAGTGGAATTCACAATCATGGGGAAGATTGCTGACCTGACCATCATTGACACCCTCCACAAGGAGGGAAAGCCTCAAAAGGTAATTGCAAAAGGAGTTGGATGTTCTCAAAGTGCTGTATCAAGGCACATTAATAGAAAGTTAAGTGGAAGGGAAAAGTGTGGAAGAAAAAGGTGCACGAGCAGCAGGGATGACCATAGCCTGGAGAGGATTTTCAGGAAAAGGCCATTCAAATGTGTGGGGGAGCTTCACAAGGAGTGGACTGAGGCTGCATCAAGAGTCACTACACACAGACGGGTCCTGGACGTGGGCTTCAAATGTCGTATTCCTCTTGTCAAGCCGCTCCTGAACAACAAACAATGTCAGAAGCGTCTTACCTGGGCTAAAGAAAAAAAGAACTAGTCTTTTTCTCAGTGGTCCAAAGTCCTCTTTTCTGATGAGAACAAATTTTGCATCTCATTTGGAAACCAAGGTCCCAGAGTCTGGAGGAAGAATGGAGAGGCACACAATCCAAGATGCTTGAAATCCAGTGTGAAGTTTCCACAGTCTGTGTTGGTTTGGGGAGCCATGTCATCTGCTGGTGTTGGTCCACTGTGCTTTATTAAGTCCAGAGTCAGCGCAGCCGTCTACTAGGACATTTTAGAGCACTTTATGCTTCCTTCAGCAGACGAGCTTTATGGAGATGCTGACTTCATTTTCCAGCAGGACTTGCCCACACTGCCAAAAGTACCAAAACCTGGTTCAATGACCATGGGATTACTGTGCTTGATTGGCCAGCAAACTCGCCTGACCTGAACTCCATAGAGATTCTATGGGGCATTGCCAAGAGAAAGATGAAAGACATGAGACCGAACAATGCAGAAGAGCTGAAGGCCACTATGGAAGCATCCTGGTCTTCCATAACATCTCAGCAGTGCCACAGGCTGATAGCATCCATGTCACGCCGCACTGAGGCAGTAATTCATGCAAAAGGAGCCCAAACCAAGTACTGAGTACATATGCATGATTATACTTTTCAGAGGGCTGACATTTCTGTATTTAAAATCCTTTTTTTATTGATTTCATGTAATATTCTAATTTTCTGAGATTTTGAATATGGGGTTTTCATAATCATCGAAATTACATATAATTATATCAAATAAAGGCTTGAAATATCTCACTTTGCATGTAATGAGTCTATATAATATATGAGTTTCACCATTTAAGTTGAATTACTGAAATTAATGAACTTTTGCACGATATGCAAATTTTTCAGGGACTAATGAGCAGGGCGGGAGCAACACAGGTGGCAGGGATCAGGGCTAACGAGGCAGGCAGAGAGACAGCAGGGGAAAACAGAGAGACTGGCAGGCAGGCAGATTACTGGGGGAACAGACAGAACACACGTTACAAAATACCAGACAAGAATCTAACCCCACATAGTAACATAAACCCAAACCAACAGACAAGCACTGACCAACTATAAAACACGGATAATCACAAACAAAACCTAAACGAGAACACAGTAGAACACAAAGGCAGGGAGTAGAAAACAACATAACGGGGCAAGGCGGGACAGAAACTAGAATTAGGCAGTACACAAGACAATTACAGAATAGGACAGGGACTAAGGCAAGCACAGATCAAAACTAAAAGACAGGCAACAGTAAATAAACTAACGCTGGGCAGACTGAACACAAGACAGGACTGAACACCAAAACACAACAGACCTTAATGACAGATACAGAACTGATAAATAAATAATCTCACAAAGAAACTCAGGACAGGATCGTGACAGCTAAGACAAGGATAGTTCATTAGGCTACATACTGTACGGTATTTGTGGACAGCTACATCCTGGAGTTCATTGAGCGTCTGCAATGAATGAACATTCTACAATGATCGTCAACAGATGGGTTGCCGTTTGTCAATTCACCATCAAAGACACCTTTGGATGTAAAGGCAACATATTTAGCATTAATGAAAACTAACCTGAATCACAATCATCCGATTCAGCTGTCACACGCATTTTTTAAACACTGGCACTGGGGCTGATAATGTGCAAATAATAAAACTATTTACACAACAAATACAACTGTTTATGTTTTGGTTTACAATATGCAATTTGAGAAACGGGTCTATTCTTCGTTCATTGTGCACTGCAGCTATTAAAACCCATTTAATCCCATTTGTCACAATAGTGACCTTAAAATGTTTTTCATTTAGGCAGGCAGGAGCACAAAATAACGTACCTTTCTCAAGTTATACAGTAAAGTAGTAATGTCACATATGTATGAATGTGGATCAAACACAACAAATCTTAAATGTTAAAGTAGAGAGGAGCCCAGTAGGCCTATTGATTTTCATTCTTTACACACAATAAGCTTTGCAGACAGTTGTAAATAATCTTGAAGATTCTCCACTTGTTATCCTGTAGTTACACAGTAATATGAGGGGTGTGGGCTGTATTCTCCCAGGCTTTATAGTCACACAGTAAAAACAAGCTATGTGCTGTTCACTAATTCTTTCTCTGTACACATAAACAACAAGGCATGTAAGGGAGGATATAAAAGGAAATTATTCTATTGTTTTGGGGTAATTTTTCTTCTTGTCTTCTGACAAAGATGGAAGCTATGCTCACCAAATGCTGCCTCCTCTGTCTTCTAAGGAAGACATAAAAGAAAAATAACTACATTAAATCATTTTGACATGTTAAGTGCAGTAAATTTAACTTTAAATTGATCTGAAATTGAGCTGGCATCCCCATGCCAATGCCTAACTGTGGCAGCTGCTGTCTGCATATCTTTAAAGTATGATTAAATTTTGTGTAAAATTATACCCTGCACTGTAATAGCACGATACGTTGGATCATTGCCCTCCAAAAAGGACATCCCCTCTCACTTGGCTTCCCCAAGAATTTATACCACCACACGCCACTGCTAAAACAACATATCATATGTTACAAACTAGTCATAGGTTTTCAGTGCTGTCTGTGACGGCCTATCAGAGGAGCCTTAACCACAGGAGGCCTGGCCTTCAGCTGCATGCTATTTTTACTTTCATAATGTCAGTAACAACCACAAAACACATAACTCACGTTTGTTGTTGCTGCAGCAGAGATGAAGACCGGACAAAGTCTCTGTACCTTATTTAATCATTGCACGTCTGTAGCAGAATGCTAAATGTGTGAATTAAACAGGGTTTAATAAAGCTTCATCATGACTTTTGAAATGCAAACATATATTTTAGGCATTTATTGAACCTGTTGTCTGAATGTGTCTCTTCTAAAAGCGTGAGAAGATGTAACGTGACACTTGCACAGCCTCATATGAAACCGTTCACTCTCCTCCAGGCAGCACTTTTTTCAGACATGACAGACCACAGCAAAGCTACAGTGGGTGCAGCTCCCATCCATCTTCACTGTGAAATGTACTCAGCCTTCTCAATGCAGATGTGTGTTTGCAGTTAATATGAAAC